GGCAGGAGGATTGAAAGTTTGAGGCTAGCCTGGGCACTTTAGCAAAACTCTGTCTCAAAATAATGAAACGAAAGAGGCTAGGGGTGTGGCAGTGGAATACTTGCACAGCATGCATGAGGCTCTTGGTTCAACCCCTAGCACTGCTTAATTAATTAATTAATTAAAGGCGGGGCCTGGGGAATGTAGGGCAGGTGCACTCTTGGTCCAATTCCCAGTGTTGGAAAAAAACCAAAATGAAAAGATAAGTTGCAAACTAGGGAGTCCCCAACTTACAATGGTTCAGCGTACAGCATTGGGATGTTTTGGCCTTATAGTGGTGCAGAGCCATGAGCATTCCAGAGCCAACATGAGACATGATGCTGTCTCACATTGCTAGGCCACGGCAGTGAGTGCAGCTCCCAGGCAGGCGATGGACTGCATGAGGCAGATCACAATGTGCTCTTCTGCTGATCTGGGTTGTGTGGAAGGTCAGGCAGAGTCCATGCATTTTTTATTTACTATTCATTTACCAGGGTATAACTGCACTGTATGTCAGAGCATCTGAACTGAACTGAGGCGGGAGTAGTATCAAACATACAAAGAGAGCTCCTACAATGCACGGAGAGCACAGGGAGCTCAGAGGGCCATGGGAGGAGTAGGTGTGGGTGGCAAAGGGATGCTCAGGGTCGGCTGGGGATTCGATGCAAATTCAAGCACCAATGAGCTGCAAAATCCAGCGACACCAAGTTTCCCAACATGGTGACTTACTGGAAGTTTACAGAAAGCTGGGGGCATGTGGCAGGCCCTGACACTGGGAGAAAGCCACCAGGGTTTGTGGGCCCACCAGAGTCCCCAGTCTACACCCCCTGAAAGCCCTCAGGGGAGAGGCAGCTCTTCCTGCCCACAGCCTGTGTGCGTCAGAGATGGGGGTGGGCAAGATGGGGTGCTATTGTTTGGGGATGGGATTGGAGGGCCTGTCCTTTCTGTCCTCACAAATAGCCACAACCTGGGCGGCTTCAATAACAGAAATGTCTGATACTGGGTTGTTCAGCAGATGGACTCCTGCAGCAGGGGCAGGATGATTAAATGAGTTAACACTTGGTGCCTGGTAACCACTCAAAACACACTCACTGAGTGAATAATAAAAAGCAGCGATCCAGGCTCAGTGTACTGCCTGGCAGCCCCAAGCTGCCCCGCCTGGTCTGATGTGGGGGTGCCAGGCAGGCGACTCCACCCTCCTGAGCCTGTCTCCCCATTCATGGGCTGATGAGAAGCACCTAATGCTGACAGTTCTTCAGGTGCTGAACATCCCCTGTCCCTTCCTGGTCCCCAGACCTGGAGCCCACGAGGGCGGGGATTGGATTCAGATGAGTGCAGCTGTGTCCCCAAGCCCCGAGCAGAGCCTGGCCCAGGAGGCTCTGGGTCAGGATTCTGACTGGGCACACTGAGGAGCCCAAGGGTGTGCAGGAGCTGGGGAGCGACCCGGTGCCGGTGCCGCCTGACACAGGCTGCTGGAGGAGGCAGGAGCCAGAGGGAAGGGAGCTGGGAGACAGCAGGTGTCCAGGGAGGGCCGCCCAGGCTGGGCCTGCGGCAGGAAGAGGGGAGCTTCCAGCCCCCGTGCTGGGACTTGGGCCATGGGAAGCATCAAGCGTCAGGTGCCTGCCTGCCCCCTCCCGGGAAAGGAAGCGAGCCTCTGAGGCTGGCAGTCGGGCTCGGGGCACCCAGGAGGGACCCTGGGAAGCGCTAGGTGGACAAGCGCTGAGTCACCGCCCTGAGGCCAGCCCAGCTCTGTCCTCAGCTCTGATTTTATCTCTGTCATTTCCCCTCTGTCAGAGCGGTTCGGTTCGGTTTGGTTCCACCACTTCCGGGGGAGAAGCCTGACTCAGCCTCACATAGATCCATTCTCTCCGCCCACCAAGCCTGCTTTCCCGATGGGGAAACTGAGGCTCGGAGAGACGAAGCCTTGCCCAGCTCAGAGGGCAGCAGGTGCCGGGTTCAGACTCGGGCCAGGTGGCAAGGCCTGGGGTGGGGACCAGGGTCAGACCCTGCCCCTCCTGGGTGGTCACTGAGTCCCAGCTTGCGGCCAGGGTTCGGAGATCGGCGAGGGGCTCAGGGTGCGGGCCAGGCTCAGACACCCGGCCCCAGGGCCAGGACGCAGAGGGTCCTCGAAACAAGGGCAGAGGGGACCAGGGCTGAGGGCCCCCGGCGGCTCTGCCCCACATCCGCACCCTGGCGGGGTTGCAGTGTCTCTAGAGCAAACAGGCCGGGGCTGGGCTCAGGGGTCAGAGGTCAGAGGTCAGAGGCCTGGTGCCCCCAACACTCTTGTGACTGTCACTACTACAAGCATGACGGGGCCGGCCCTGTCACCTCTCCACCCCCCAGGAGGGCCATGCAGCCGCCGGTAAACGGAGGCTGGGAGAAGCCCGGGCTGGGCATGGAGGAGGGGGAGGCCTGGACTAGCGCCCAGCTGGGAGACGTTTGTTGACTGAAGGAGCGACCCCTTCTGCCATCCCTGATGGGAAGCAAGCATCCGGGCTCCTGGGAGAGAATCCCCCTCCTCTGCCACGGGCGTCCCTCCCGCCGTCACTCCCGCCGTCCGTGTTTCGGTTTCGGCGGGAAGGTCAGCCTGGAGCGGGGACGGGAGCCAGGGGCGGCTCCAGGCCGGGCGAGGAGGACAAAGACCACGCTGCCATCTCCACCCCTGCGCGCGGGGACCTGGCCGGTCCGGGGCTCTGCACCCCGGTGCCTCTGTTTCCCCTCCTGAAGGAGCCCTGCGTTCCGGCGGTGGGGAGCGGCGCTTGGGCAGCAGAAGGCGCGGTGGGTTCCTGCCAAGGTTCCGCGTGGCCGTGGGAGGCCTCGGAGGGGACAGAGCTGGTGCGGGCACCCCGTGGGGGAGGGGACAGAGGCAGAAGGAGCCTGCAGCCTGCACCCTGGGCGGCGGAGGCAGAAGCATCGCCAGCTCCAGATGCGGGCCCTGATGACGAGGCCTGGGCAGACACCTCCTAACCCTCAGGGGGGCTGCGGTGCCACTCGGGGACGCCCTGGCTCGGGTCCCAGCACCACAAACTGAAACAAAACCCTGTGGAAAGCGACAGCATCAGCAAGGCCTTGGGAGCTGGACGCACTCAGTGGCTGGCAGGGAGTCCACAGGCAGCTGCCGGGAAACAGCCCACAAGTCCTCCTCAGGTCGCACCCAGGATGACCCAGGTCCCTGCAGCTGTGCTCCAAGGTACCGACCAAGAGAGCTGAAGACAGGAGATGTTTCCACCAAAACCCGGCAGCAGCCAGAGGTGGAAACAGCCAGGGGCCCATCAGTGGTGAGCAGATACAGGGTGGTCTGTCTGTCTACTGGTGGAATACTACTCAGCTGGGAACAGGGAGAGACACTGATATATGCCACAATCTGGATGGACCTTGGAACTATGGTGCTGAGTAACAGCAGCCAGACACCCAAGGCCACACCACGTGTGATCCCACTGACACCAGATGCCCAGCACAGGCAGATCCAGAGACAGAAAGCAGACTGGTGACTGCCAGGGGCTGGGGAGGGGTGGGAAGGGACGGCTCACGGGAAGGGGCTCCTTTAAATTACTGAAGCCACTGAATTTTGTACTTTAAAGGGCAAATTGTATGGTGTGTGGATTCTGTGTATCTTAACAACAGCAGGGTTGGCCATGGTGAACACCTGGGATCCCAGCACTCAGGAGGCTGAGGCAGGAGGATCACACTTAGTTCGAGGCCAGCCTGAGCTACTTAGTGGGACTCCTTAGTGAGACAAAAAAAAACCAAAAACAAAACCAAACCTGAGTTCAATCCCCGGTACCCCCCCCCAAAAAAAATCACAAATTCTGTTTCTGACCAAGAGCCTCAGTCTGGAGGCACAGACATGAGGCAGGGGCTGCTGTGTCTCCCGGTCGCCTCCTGAAGCCTTCCCCCATCCTTGCTGCACAAACCCAGAGCCTCTGGGCAGGTGAGGCTGGATGTGCCTGGGCGGTAAACTGAGGCAGCCCAGTTCCCATCCCAGAGCTCCTGGGAAGGGCTGAGGAACCTGCGCTGAGAGGCCCCTCAAGTACTGTTCACACAGCAGTTGCTCAATAAACATTGGGCCCGCTGAGGTGCGGCTCAGTGTAAGCCTTGCCTGGCCCCTGCAAGGCCCTGGATTCCGTCCCAGCACCTCAAAGAACCACTACAAATAAATAAATAATCACCAGACCGCGGCTCTGGTGACCAGGTCGACCCAACCCACACAGGATTGCTGCAGACCTGCCTGTGTTAGGGCTGGGTTAGCAGAGCCTGAGAGAGCTCGTTGGTTATTTTCTGGCAGCAGAGTGGGAGTGAGGGGTGGAAAGATTGGGGTTTAGGCTTGGCTGGATCCAGGTGACTAACTCTCTGGCTGTTTCCGGGGGATCCGGGCAGGGTTCCTGCCGGGAGTGAGCCTCCCATGAGCACCCAGCCTCCCCAGGAAGCAGGACGACTGTGTCCCCAGGCTTTCCAATCAAAGTTCCTTTGCGATCTGTTTCCCCATGTAGACCAGTTTTATTTTTTTCTTTTGGTACCGGGGATGGAACTCAGGACCTTGCGCTTGCCAGGCAGGCTCGGCGCCCCTGAGCTACGTCCCCAACCCTGTCTCCCCATCTAGATGTTTCCCTTGGGGAAACTGATGCTTCCGAGGAGCGGGTGCTGGGCTCCTCCCGGCCCCGCGCTCTCTTCGCCTAAACCCCAGCCCCTCTTGCCACAAACGGCAGCGGTGGCAGCGGTCCCGGTTTGTAACTCTGCTGGGCTCTGAAACCGGAAAAGCGCGTTTTGTGAACCAGGGCGGCGGAGAGGGCGGGAGGCGGAGACGCGCGGCGCGGGCGCCCCCTGGTGGCCGCGAAGGGGACAGCCGTCGCGCGTGCCCCGCAGGGAGCCGGGGCCCGGGCAGGGGCGCTTGGGGGCAGCGCATTCGGGGCTGTGTATCAGGTCTCCCACGCAGCGGCAGTCACAGGGTCAGACTGAGGCGGGCTTGGGGGACCCCCTGGCCGGCCCGGCCCCCTCGCGGGACGTGGGGCAACGCGGGCTGCACAGCGGCGGGCGCCCACTAACCAGCCGGGGATCGCATCGTCTTCTAGGACGCGGGCGCCCCGTCCCCGAGCCCCCAGGCCCACCACGGGTCTCCGGGCGCGGGGCGCCTCCAGCCAAGGTCCCCCAGGAGCAGCGGGGCCCTGGGGGCGCGGGCGGCCCCGGCGGGCTCCAGCACCGCCAGCTGGGAGTCCCGGGGCGGCTCTGGCCTCGCCGCCTCGCCTTCGACCCCGCACATCTCCACCACCAGCGTCTCTGGCGGGGACGCCTCCTCCGCGAAGTCCACCGGGGTGCTCCACAGGCACTGCGGGCAGGGAGGCGGGGCCAAGGCTGGGGGTGGGGCCAGGATGGAGGGGGCTGGGTCTCTGCCGGCTCCACCCAATCCGAGGCGGGTCTCCCTCAGAGAGCATCGGCCTGCCCCCCAGGACAGCACCCTATTTCCCTTCGCAAAGACCCTTCCTTTTATAACTGGGGCAGTTGGTCACGCCCCCAATGGGCACATGATCCAAGCTCAGCCAATCAGCATTATAGCCCCTGGTTTCCGCTTTTGGGGGGGGGTCATACATAAGCATGTGACCTCAGCTAGACCAATCAGTGATGGTCTTGAGACTGTTGCTAGTCCGTGGAGGAAAGCCTGTTTCCCCTGGGGAAAGCCCGAGGCTGCCCTACCCAAAGCTGGGTGGCTGAGGCAGGATGGCTGCGAGTTGGAGGCCAGCCTGAGCTACATAGCAAGGCCCTGTCTCAAAAAACAAAACAAAACAACAAAAAAGAACCAAGAGCTGATATTTGAAAGGGAGAGTTTACCTGCTTCCCTTGGCTGCTCGGGAACACCACGGCAGTGCTGGCACAGGGTGTGGGTAGGGGCGGCCACAGGTGCCGCGCAGCCCTGGAAAGAAAAGGCCAGGTCAGCGAAGCGCTCTGCCGGCCTCCTCTTCCTGCTTCATTGCTCTGGCGTAGATTTTTTTCCTGGCCATAAGGGTTTTTTCTGTTTTGTTTTTGTTTTTTTGAGACAGGGTCTCGCTACGTAGCCCAGCCTGGCCGTGGACTCTCAGCGATCCTCCTGCCTCAGCCTCCTGAGCGTTGGGACTCATGGCCATCAGGTCATGCAGGTATGAGGACGTGGGTTTGCAGGTTCAGATCTCGCATCTCCCCCCTCTGCTCGGCAAATCACTTGTTCCCCACCTCAGTTTCTTCCTCTGGGAAACGCACAGGGCGTGTCCTGGACATGGAGGGCCGTATGTTACCTGCTCAGGCCGAGGTACCCCAGGGCGCCCAGCAGGAGGATGGTCACAAAGCTGCCCAAGGACGCGGACAGGACAGGTACGTGGGACACCTGAGGGGCTGGGGTGCGAGAGTCCGGGTAAGTGGAGCGCTGGGAGGCTGGGACATCGGTGGGGAGTACAAACCCTGCTCTGTCCTCCTCCTCCCCAGAAGCCCCTGGGCTGGGGAAGCAGAGCCCGACGGAGGCCCCCAAACTCTGATGTCAGTTGGTCCATTGTTGTTGATCAGGAGCAGGCAGGGAAGGCTTTCTGGAGGAAGGAGCTTTTGAGCTGGGTTTTGAAGGATGAATAGGAGCTTGGCAACCAGAAAACAAATTGTCCAAATAGCTGGGCATGGTGCCTCAATCTTTTCCAAGTAGCCAGGGGAGGTGGGAGCAGATCTAGCTGGTACCTTCTCCTAAGGGCAGTAGGGAGCCCCGGGAGGAAAGAAGCCCAGGGCAGGGAGCTCACCGAGGCTGAAGCGCTGGGGCGGACTCCAGGTGCCCCGCAGCCACGCCGTGTCCGCGCGCACCTGCACCGTGTACGTGGTGCCAGGTCGCAGGCCCTGGAGGGTGACTTGGGTCTCGCTGGGTGCCACGAGCCACTCTGTGAGGGGTGATTTGTGTTTTCAGTACTGGGGATTGAACTCAGAGACACAGAGTCTCGGTAAGTTGCTCAGGCCAGGCTGGAATTTGTAGCCCTTCTGCCTCAGCCTCCCAAGTGCTGAGACTACAAGCGTGCACCACCGCGCCCGGCCCAATTCCCTGATCTGAAGCATGGGGAGACAGAGGCCAGGCAGGGGCAGCGAACCTGCCTCGTGGCCGCCGTCCCCCACACAACGCACAGCATAGGTTGCCAGGACACCGGGGCAGCCATGCATTGGGGATGGAGCCCAGGCCACGGCCGCAGAGTCCTTGCTGTGGTTTCGCACCGACACATGTGGCGGGGTCCCGGCCACCGACGCTGCAATGGCACAAAGTCCTCGTCACCGCCCCGCGCTGCGAAGCCTCCCACGTGCCCCCCTGCACGGACCCCGAGCCTGTTGGCTATCCCGACTCTTGGCCTCAGTTTCCCCATCTTTACAGCGGGTGACGCCCACTCATGGGGTCTTTCGTGTCCACTGTGAGCCGATGTCCGTGTGTCCAGCTTCCACCCAGGGCCTGGTACCCTTTCCCAGCACTTAGGGCCACTCACCGTTGCCCCAGAAGTAGTAGGTGGACAGCGCGGTGGACCATGCCGTGGCCTTCTCTGGGCGCACAGAGGTGAAGATGGTGACGTGGTAACACTGGTCCTGCCCCATCACCCCCAGAGCTGGGCTCCAGCTATGAGTCACTGAGAGGACAGACAAGGGCTCACCCACCAACTAGACTGAGTTCTGACCTCTAGGCTTTGTGGTATCCTGACCATCTGCTAGAAATACCTAGAAAACTCCTACTCATACTTCAAAGCCCGTGCACCAATGCCCCTTCCTAGAGGGTCACTTTCCTATGCACTTCCTAGAGGTGTCCTCATCTGCTCCTTGGGGACAGGGCTGTCTGTATCCAGCTGTGTTCTCTCAGGCTGGAGGCTCCACCAGGTCCAGGCTGAAGCTGTGACTTTGGGTCTTGGGCTAGGGCCAGTGCAGAAGCTAAGAAGAGGGCAGCAGCTATGTGGGCCACACAAGCGCCCCCTGCCCCAGGCCTCATTACAGAGTCCCCAGCACCTTGCTGAACGCCACCTCCCCTGGCGGGCTGAGTCCTTGCAAACACAGGGATGTGCGAGTCGTCGCCTGAGGTGCCCCACTGCCCTGGGCGTGGTCTGGGATGAGGTGACAGCTCCATGGGCCCCGCACACCCACCTGGCCGTCCCCGGAGCCCCGAGACGCACGACAGGGCAGAGGCTGCTCCTCACCTACTGTACCTGATCCCGCTGGGCCCGGGTCCTGCGATGACAGCACCATGCAGTTGGGGGCCGCGTCTGGGCCAAACAGCTGCCACTCCACGCAGTGGGTCACACCCGGGGCCTGCGCCACCCAGCGCACCGTGAAGCCACTGGCCCCTGTGCTGACATTCAGGGCCCCGGGGTCTGGGGGACACAGGAGTCACGTGGGGCGGCCTTGGCCTCTCCTCCATCGCCCCCCGCCCAACCTGGCCCGGGGCCCATAGCTCCTCCACCGCAGAGCCCCCGTGGCGCCACCTGGCAAGGCCAGGCCACCCACGCTGGCTGTGCCCCCAGAAGCCAGGCATGGTGGCACATGCCTGTCATCCCAGCACTCGGGAGGCTGGGGCAGGATGGCCACGAGTTCGAGACCAGCCTGGGCTACATAGCGAGACCCTGTTAGGGAGGGAGGATTGTAACATTTTGTGTCCTTTTTTGAGACAAGGTCTTTCCAGAGTCCAGGCTGGACTCAAACTTCAGATCCTCTCGCCTCAGCCTCCTGAGTGTCAGGCTGTCCCCAGCTCACCCATGGACTTCTGTCACTGAGCCTCGACACCCCTCTATTTGTTTGCCGCCTCTCGGTGTGGCCTGACCGAGCCAAGGCCCCCTCCCACGGGCACCTGTGTGGGCAGCAGGCACGGCGGGGACGGCAGGGACGAGCCACGTCTGGTTGGGGCCCCAGCCCAGGCGGGTCCTCGAGAGGACAGCCACGTCGTAGGCGCCGCCTGAGAGGAAGATCTTGCGCTTCTCCAGGCGCAGGGTCCGCGTGGGCTTGGCCTGGCAGGGGCAGGACCGCATGCGCAGCCTCAGGAAGTAGGTGACCTGGGCCCCGGACTCGGTCCCGCGACAGCCGTCCGGGAGCTGGGGCTGCGGGGGCTGCGGGGGACAGGAGGCGTAGGGACGCGCGCTGCCTCGGCCCCGTCCTCTCCTTCCGGCCTCTGGCTTCATCTAACCCCCACAGTCCATTCCCCAGGGGAGCGCCCGGGCCCCAGCACTCTGGGAGGCTGAGGCAGGAAGGCCACAAGTTCGAGCCCAGCCTGGACAACTTAGCGAGACCCTGTCTCGAAATGAAAAATAAAAAGGCCTTGGGGGCCACTCCGTACAGGCCTGGGGGAGCGGGCGGCCGGTGCCCACAGCGCCCTCTTCTGCTCACGCCCGCTCCGTGGCTCCCCGTTACCCACGTGGCCAGACACGCACCCCCGCCGCCAGGCCCCAGGCCGCCCGCACCTGCCCTTGCACGCGCAGCCGACGCCGCCCGTCCCGGCCCAGCTCCGCCACCTCCAGAGTCGCCTCGGGCTGCGGGAGGCTCCCTGCGGGGCAGACGGGGATGAGGGGACCCGGCCGGCCGCGGTGACCCCGGCGGCGCCCGAGACCTCGCCCCCCGCCCCCGCTCACCGGGCGGGGCGCACTCGGGGTCGCTCCAGGCGCTCCAGAGGCCTCTGGGGGCCCCAGACCCCGGCCGCCGCCGCCACCGGAACTGGAACTCCTGGGCCGCGTCCGCCTCCAGGGGGCACCGGCAGGACCCTGCGGAAGGCGGGCGTCGGCACCTGCGCTCGGCCACGCCACTGCGCAAAGGCAAAGCCGGCGGCCCCCGGGCGCGGCCTCACCTGAGCCGGGCTCGTCCTGCGGGCCGCAGTCGCCCTGCAAAGAGACCTTCGGTGACGCGGCCGCGGCTTCTTCCCTTCCCCCTCTCCTGGGGCCGCGCTGCGTCCCGGCCCCGTCCGTCTCTACTTAGGGTCCTCCCTAGGTCACTAGGCCGGGCTGGGCTGGCACCTCTCAGGCCCCGCACCACCAGCCCCGGCCTGGTCTCCGGCTGTACCTTCTGGGGAAACTGAGGCTGGGGTGCGGCGCCTGGGCAAGGCGGGGCTGAGGCTGCGGCTGCAGCAAGGGGTGTGACCCTGGCCCAGGGGGGTCGGGACGGGAGACGGCAGGGTCAGCGGGAGCGCAAGGCTGAGGACCCGCTGCTGCCTTGGGTATCGGGGAGCCACAGAGGGTTCAAGACCAGGAAAGGTCCCAGTCGGAGCCGCGTGCCCCAGAGACCTGGGGGCCCGCACGTGGGGTGCAGCTGAGGAGATGGGTGCCCCTTTGACCCAGGAAACAAACTCACCAACTCCCACGAACCGCCGGGCTTGCGGCGGCGGAACTGCAGCTGGACGCTGTTCTTGGGGGTCTCCCACTCCATCCTCAGCTGCCCGCGGGACACGGACGTCCTGGCCGCTCTTGGCGGGGGGTCGTATCGCACTGGAAGCAGAGGGGACACTGGGAGGGGCAGCTGGGAATTCTGCCCAGTCCCTTCTGGCCCAGGGGAGCCACTTGTGTCCCCAAACGAGAGTCAGGGCGCCGTGGCAGGTCCCAGCTGAGCCTAGAACTCTGTGATTCAGTCAAGAGAAGCCAGGGGTACACCTGTGACCTCAGCCACTTGGGAGACTGTAGCAGGAGGGTCCCATTTTTCAAGTCCAGCCCAGGCAATTTAGCAAGACCTCATCTCAAAATTTAAAAAAAAGAAAGAAGGGCCAGGGAGTTAGCTCAGTGGTTCCGCCACTTGCCTTGCAAGCACAAGGATCTGAGTTCGATCCCTGGTGCCAAAAAAAAAGAAAGAAAGAAAAGGGCTGGGGATGTAGGTCAGTGTGAAGGCCCTGGGTTCAATCCCTAGTACTGAGTGAAAAAAATAAAAAGGGTCGAGGAAGAGGATTTGTACACAGGCTCCTGGAGGTGCAAATGCCTTTACAATATTAATTCCCATGGCCAGAGAGCTGTCCCAAGACAGGGACTCCTATAAACTGCTGGCCAGCAGGTAATTGAGTATTTTTTGGAAATCTAAGCCAGACCCATTGCAAGGAGCTTGACTGAGAGACAAACGCGCTGGCTGCATCTTGATCACCCCGTACCTGACCTCCTCCTCCATATTGTACAAAGTGTATGACCCGGTGCATTGATATGCACAGTGACAGCAAAATGACTACTCTAGGAAGCTATGAAACACACCCACCCCCTCTTGTAGTTACCTGAACAGATCTACTCTCATCAGATCTCTAGATCCTCTTATACTACACCCCTGCAAGTTTGTATGCTTGGCCTTCATCTCCGTTTCCTCCCCAACCCTGCCCCTGGTAACCACCTGGCTGTTTTGTTGCTATGTACTCAAACATTTTCTTCTCCTTCGCGGTGCTGGGGATGGAACCTGGGGCCTCATGCATGCTAGACAGGCGCTCTGCCGCTGAGCCCCAGCCCCAGCCCTTTTTATGCATTTTATTTTGAGACAGGGTCTCACCACATTTCCGGAGCTGGGATTGCGGGTATACACCACGGTGCTCAGCTTTGGGTGACACATCAATATTTTGCTGGCCATGGATTTTGGGGGGAGGCTTCAATTTAAATTGTTTGAAACAAATATTGTATTATGGACTGGAAGTGCAGCTGGGGGGTGAGCATTTGCCAGGTGCATGCGAGGCCCTGGCTCTTATCCCCAGCTCCCCTGAAGAAAAACACATAGATCTATTGCAGTGGAACCCGGACGTGGTGGTGCAGGCCTGTGACCCCAGCACTTGGGATGCTGATGCAGGAGGATGGCCACAAGTTCAAGGCCAGCCTGGGCTACATAGGGAGAACCTGTCTCAAAAGACCAAAAATAAATACATAAAGCAATTGTGTTCCAGTACAATATTGTTCCTATCGACTCACTTTTTGGTGCCCAAAGTGGGGCTTCCCCGGCTGGGCTGCAACCTCCAGGGCTTTGCCCACATCCCCGCCCCCACCCGCACCCCACAGCCCCAGGCCAGGAGCTGCAGACCTGCTGAGTCAGCACGGACGCCCAGCAGGGCCCAGCAGCTCTGCGGCCAGGAGCAGGGGAAGCCACCGCGCGGGAAGGGGTGAGGCTGGGGCGTGGGAGGCCGCGGGGCGGGGCGAGGCGCTGACCCCATTCGTGCAGCCGTAGGGTGACCGCAGGCGACTTCTCCGTCCGGTTGGCGGCCTGGGACTCCACCCAGAGCGTGACGTTGCTGAGCACAGGCACCCCGTCCTGGTCGGAGAACTGCAGCCGGGTGGCCGGGCCCGCGGGGAAGTAGCAGCAGGACCTGTTGCCAAAGCTGTGGGAACGAGTGGTGCTGCTGAGCCCGGCAGGGACCAGGGTTCCCTCCCGCCCCCCTTTCCTCTCCCTGATCTGGTCTTGCTTTTTGTGGTACCAGGGACTGAATCCGGGGCCATCACACTGAGCTGCATCTTCATCCTTTTCTGCTTATGTATTTTTTAGGTCTTGCTAAATAGCTGGGTTTAAATACGTGATGCTCCTGCCTCAGCCTCCTGAATCATTGGACTTATAGGAGTGGGGCCCTTTCTAACTCTCTCTAAATCCAATCTCCCCAGCCTTGAGTTTTTTGGAAATCAGTCTAGGATTCAGGAGTTTGAGAGACCCCAGAATCTCTCAGCATGGGCTGGTGCACAGGGAAAGAAGAAATGGGTGGGTGCATGGATGGTGCATGGATGGTGCATGGATGGTGCATGGATGGTGCATGGATGGTGCATGGATGGTGCATGGATGGGTGCATGGATGGTGGATGGGTGGGTGGAGGGGTGAGGGTGTGGGTGAGGGAAAGACCAGACAGACCCTCATGGCCACCCATGCACACTGACTCCCACAAGCCCCACCTCCTTCCCTAGATGAGACTGGAAGTTGGGGAGGGCACTGTCCCCGCTGAGGTTACTCCTGTGCAAGTGGGCACAGAGCAGGAGGGGGCAGGAGCCAGGGCTCAGGGACGGGCGGGTGGGGAACCGGGCAGCACACTCACCAGCACCACAGGAAGTGGCTGACCGCCACCTGGGGGCCGTTGTAGCTCCAGGAGCACTCGTAGTGACCTGCGTTGTTGAACACTCGGTAGCAGCTCAAGTCCTGGGGGCCCGAGGTGGAGCCTGCAAGGGATTCCTTAGGGTTTGGGGGCCCTCAGAGTAGGGGCGGGGCCTCCCCACACTGAACCCCAAGACCCTTGAGTCACCTCGGTCTGAGCCTGTTGTGGTCCTGGCCCCCACTCGGGCATCACCTGTTGCACAACTGCCCCCTCCCCAGCACAGGCCCCAGGCGCTCCGGATGGAGCCCAGGGCCTCAGCCATCCTAGGCAAGTGCTCCCCATGGAGCTGCCCCCAGATCTTGACACCCCAGTTTCCCCTTCAGTGGCAGCACCTTGGCCACCAGCCAACCCAACACTGTCCCCTCCGCCCTCCCCAGGCTCTGTTTCCCACAGCTGTCACCCGATGCAGGCTACACTCATCCATCTGAGGCCGAGGCGCTGGGGGACAGGTGGGCCCACAGCAGATCGCCTTGTCTGCAGCTCTGCCTGCACATAGTAGGCACTCAGCTATAAAAACAGATGGGCCTCACTATGCTGGGCAGAGTAGCCTCAAACTTCCTAGCCCCAGCGATACTCCCGCCTCAGCCTCCCTGAACATGATGAGCCCAGCACAGACACCTTCCTCCATCCCACACTTCAAACCTGGGTTTGTATCCGGATAAGACGGGTCCTGAAAACAGCACCCACCAGACCTGCAGGCACCTGCAGAGGCAACCGAGAGACAGTGACATCCCTGGTCATGCACGGAGGGAACAGGGTCTTGGCATGGGGGTCTGCAAACCAGTCCTCACCTGCCTGTCCACTGCTTTCCCATGCATCATCTACCAACTGTCGACCCATCCATCCACCCACCCATCCATCCCTCCACCCACTCATCCATCCACCCATCCATCTACCCATCCATCCCTCCACCCATCCATCCACCCACCCACCCATCCATCTCTTCATCCACTCCTCCTTCCATCCATCTGTGCTCTGTGACATCATGCTCTGGGGGAATCCTGGGCCACCAGCAGGACAGAGAAGTCCCCTAAGGCCACCCTGCAACTCCCGGAGAGGGGTGAGCACCCTCCCTGGCCCCCCGTCTTTCTCCACCTCCAGGGCCCCCAGCCCCCTTAGACTGAGGCACGCAGAGGGGACCCAGGCCTCCAGCCCGGTCCACAGCCTTCCCACACCACAGCCTGGGGACTCACCGCCCTGCCAGGACAGCAAGAAGAGCAGGAGGAGGCACAGCCAGGCCACCTGCCTCCCCATCAGGTCCACGCGCAGCCTTGGCCCCAGCTGCCCTGTGCCCTCCCCGGAACATGTTGAAGCCGAGCAAGAAAAAAGACCAAGAAAAAAGTGTCACACCCCCTCCCTCTGAGGGAGTCAAAGCGAAAGAGGAACCCAGGAAGGCAGCTCGCCCACAAAGCCACCGCGGGGCAACGCCAAGGGGCTGAGACTGAGCCCAAGGTCCCGCTGTGTGGGAGACGCCCTGTGGCCTGGGCCAGGTTTGGCATGGGACTCGGGGGCTGAGCCGGAGCCAGGGTCCCAATCCACACGTAGGCCAGAGGTCGCCCTGCTGCCTGGAGGGCGGCTCCAGGTTTCTCCTCGGCCTCCAGCCTTGTGGTTTCTGACTGTCCTCGCTGCCCGCCAGGCTCCAGGGCGTCCCAGAATGTCCACGCTGCCACGTGGACCAGTGTCAGAGGTGCAGCGTGGAGTGGCAGTGGCCAGACACATGGCCACACAGTGTGTGATCCTGTGGAAGAGAAATGTCCAGGACACAGATAGGGTGTGCGGCGTGCGCCTGTCATCCCAGCACTCTGGGAGGCTGAGGCAGGAGGGTGACAAGTTTGAGCCCAGCCTGGGCAGCTTAGCAAGACCTCATCTCAAAATAAAAATGGAAACAGGGCGCCAGGGACCTAGCTCAGTGCAAAGGCCCTGAGTCCCATCTCTAGTAACTCAAAATTAACAATTAAATTTTTTTTCAATTAAATTATTTTCTAATGGTGAATTTTCAGATGTGTGTTTCCCATAAAGGAAAAAATGTTCACGGAGTCCCAGGGCACTGAGGAGAGGAGGGAGGCTCTTTCCTGGGGAAACTGAGTCTCAGGCAGGCGGATGCAGGCTTGGGAGGCCCCTCCTGAGCTGAGCCTGGATGCAGGGGCAGCTGCACTGGCCAGGGCCAGGCTCCCCAAGGGCCATGAGGTCAGTGCCTGCAGGACAAAGGGACAGTGTCCTGCTCCTGGCACGGTGGGTGCGGGGACCCTGTGACACTGTAGGAGCAGCCTGGAGGGCCAGGGAGGGGCAGGCTGCGAGAGATGAGTGGGGACAAAGGGAGATGGGGAGGCAGGGATGGAGGAAGCAGAGGCAGATGGAAGAAGCTGGCCGTGGTGGCACACGTCGGTCATCCCAGCTACTTAGGAAGACCCCATTACAAAGTTGAAAGGAAGATGGAAGGAAGGGTTGGAGCTCATGCCAAACCCATGCCCCTGCTTTATCCTGTGGAGACCCTGCCGCATTCCTGGAGACACTGTCACCAGCCCCATTTCACAGATGGGGAAACTGAGTCCAGAGGTGCCTGCCAGGCCACCTGAGGCTCCAGCCAGAGGCCAGGAGATGGGTTTCAACAGCCCCGGAGGACCCGAGCTCTTCCTGGTGCTCCCTCCACACCCACAAAGGTGAAAGGGCCGGGGATGTAGCTCAGTGGTTCCGTTCCGCCGCCTGCCTCACAAATGCAAGGTCCCGAGTTCAATCCCTGGTACCCCCCCCCCAAAAAAGATGAGATTTCCGGGGCCTCAGTTTCCCCTGCTGCAGGATGGGCTGCGGGGGCATGAGGGCTCCGTGCCCAGTGACTGTGGCCTGCCCATCAGCCAGGGTGATGCTCACAGCTGCAGGTGCCCCCACCGTGGCCTCTGTCCTTCCCACCGCTCCATCCGGTACCCCGAAGTCAGAGTGGGCCCTGGGTAAGGAGGACCACAGCCTTGGGGGTCTGGAGGGACTGGGGAGGAGGCTGGAGGGCTCCCTGAGGGCTCCCTGGAGGAGGTCCCCAGCTCAGTTACTGAGAGGGGGAGAGGGCGTGCAGGGGCCCAAGCTCCAGGTTGCAGGGCCCGCCCTGCTCCAGGGCACTAGGGACCCATGGCAGGTGTGATCCAAATTCCCGACCTTATGGAGGTCCCAGCCTGAGGTTCGTGACACCCTGCTCCCTACTCAGGGGCTCCTTCTTGGCCCTGGTTAGTTGAAATAAACTCCCAGATCTGCCTCACTTTCAGATGCCCTGAAGGCTGGGGGCAGGGGCAAGAAGGAAGGAGCACGTCACAGGGGCCCGGAAATGGAAGGAAACCGCGCTGCAGGAGGAACCACAAAGCATCTCCGCCCCCTCGGCCTGGGCCTTCTCGGGGAGAGTGACCTTGAGCTAAGCCCACAGAAGGCCGAGCTTCCCTCCCTACGGCCAAAGGGCCATCTACAGCAGGTTTTGCAGGATAAATAGGAATTGGCAAGGAGAAGATCGCTTCGTTCATTTAATAAACACACTTAAAGGCATCATTTATCAAGATTTTCCTTAATCAGGGCTTTCGAACAGCTGGATCATTTGAGGGTTTTTAAAGAATACACAGAAGGTTATCAAGTAAAAATTCCTTCATTGACCACACTCCCTGAGCCCCTCATGGAGACAGGAAGGAGAGTGTGTTTGTTTTTCTGGTACCGGGGATCGAACTCAGATCCTTGCACTTGCACAGCAGGTGAAACCACTGAGCTAAATCCCCGACTCTAAGGAAGGAGAGTTTGGATGGTAAGTTCCCAGCCTACAATACTACTGAGAGGTGCGTGCCTTTAAGAGGCGGGGCCTAGCGGAAAGGAGGTCATTGGCGTGTGGCCTTGGGGACCTGGTAGCTGGGTCTATCCTCTTCTGGCTTTGAGTCCTGGCCTCCAGTGGAACAGGACTCCCCTCCCCACCAGGATGGACCAGAGTAGCTGGCCGGGCAGCCCTGGGCTGACACCTCCGAAACCCTGGGCCCCAATGAGTCTTTCCTCTTTTCAAGCTGCTTATCTCTGGTATTTTGTCACAGTGAGGGAATGCTAACAGACGGACATGTAGTTCACCAAAAAAAATGAATTTGTTCATTCAGTCAGTGCCCTCTGAAAGCCAAAGAGAATCCAAAGCAGAATCTGAAGGACACAGGTCTTCACCAAAGAAAATTGTCAGTCAGTCAATCAACAAACACTCCCTGCTGCCCTCGGTGGTATTAGGGAGGGACTGCTGGGCAGGTTTCCTCTAGGTGCAACAGGGGCATTTGAGACCTCGCTGGTGGCGGTCCCTCCAGCAGCCCACCAGCCTCAGGTTCCGGGAATCCCCTTTGCCTTAAATTGTTGGCCAAAGTCCCAATGTAAGGATCTAATTGTCTGAGAGCCAGGATCACATGTCCAGCATGAGCCAATCACAAGGGACTGACATAGATAAAAGATGCGGTATCCCACACCCATCCTAATGTGGATTAGATGCGAACTTCCTGGCAGAACTGGCCAGTGAGAGTTGGTCATGGTGAGATTCGGGCTTCCCGTCACTTGAAGGAATCAAGCTAGAACCAGAAGTTCACTTATGGCAGTGTTGCTATGTGAAACGCAGGCCAGCCAGTGAAGCTAGGAATTCAACACATCATTTTCTACCACAACTATGCCCCAAGTATGGCAGGAAACATGCTTACACTGAAAAATTATTCATTGTTTGCTGAAATGCAGGTTTAACTGGGTGGCTGCTTTAGAAAACAATCTGGCAGCTTGTCACAAATTTAAAACATAGAGGTAACATATGGCCCAGGAAATCCACTCCCAGGTACATCCCCAAGAGAGCTGAAAACTCATTCCACAGGAAACCTTGTACTCCTCGAAAGAGAGCAGCTCTCTTCAGAGGAGCCGAGCGAATGAAGAAACTCAAATGACCATCCATACAACATGCTCCATCCACACTCCAGAATATTACTTGGCCATGAACAGGAAAGAAGCTCCAATATTTGCTACCATATGGATGAATCTTTAAAAGATGGGCTGAAGTGAAAGAAGCTAGACACAAAAGGCCCCACGGGCTGGGTGCAGGGCATAGGGAGTGACCTCTGGTGAGAACAGGATTTCTTTTGGGAAGAAAGAATTTTGGTGAATTTTCATTCTCTTAAAACAACTGGGGATGGGGGCTGGGGATTTAGCTCAGTGGTTCTGCCGTCTGCCTTGAAAGCGCAAGGTCTGGAGTTTGATCCCCGTTACAAAAAAAAAAAAACAACTGGGGCTGTGCATGGTGGCACACACCTGTAATCCCAGCACTCTGGAGGCTGAGGCAGGAGGATCTCAATGAGTTCAAGGCCAGCCTGGACTGTGTACCAAGATCCTGTCTCAAAAACAAGACAAAACAGGGACGGGGATGTAGCTCAGTGGTGCTGTCACCTGCCTCGTAAGCACAAGGCTCTGAGTTCAATCTCTGGTACCAAAAAAAGGTCAATGTTTTATCCATCATAAATATCTCCATTATTTTCTTTCCAGTACCCTGTACTGGGAATAAACCCATAATCTTTTCACTGAGCTACATCTCCAGCCCTTTTAATTTTTTTTATTCTGAGACAAGGTCTCACTAAGTCACTAAGCTGCCCAGGCTAGGCTCCGAGTTGAGATCCTCCTGCCTCAGCCTGCCAGGGTGCTGGGATTACAGGTGTGCACACTTTGTCTGGCTAACGCCAGGGACTGGGGATGTCCTTTTGTTCGAAGGCCTTGTGTTTAATTCCAGTACTACACACACAAAAGTTATACTAAAATATTATTTCTCACAAGCTTTAACATCGCATGGCTTCTCCTACAGGAGAAACCCAGAGTGTAAACAAGGAGCCCAGCAAGGCTGACGACAGGAAGCAGGAAGAAGGGTCTTCTCAGAGGGGAGAGGATGAGACCGGGAGGGAGCAGACGAAAAGGGGGTAAGGATACGCTCTGTGCTTGCACCAGCTCTGCACAAGGGATGTGAACGTTATGTGCTGCAGACTCGGACTAGTGAGGAAAATGATCTAACAATATTATTCCTCGCAATTGCTGTTTGCCTGGAGGCCGGCGCCTCTGCACTCAGGCTGTGTGCTCCGGCACCCTGACGAACCCCTCTGACCCTCAGTTTCCCAATCTGCAGAGTGGGGATCAGTAATGCTCTCTAACCTCTAGGAAGATTCACTGCAAAAATGCTCACTTCTACTGGGCCTGGTGGCGCGTGCCTGTGATCACAGCATGAGGGAGGCTGAGGCAGGAGGATTGCCATAAATTCAAGGGCAGCGTGGACTATGTGGCGAGACACTGTGTCAAAA